TCTTCAACTGAGCGAGCGCTAACTGTTCTTTCCTTTTTGACACAGTTGAGAATTTTGAACTGTGACTTGACTTACTTGCCAAAGTTCGCCTTGATTTTCCCGAGAATGAACTAGCATCTTCTCCCTTTTGTCTTGACGCTAGCATTACCCTCCTTCGTAAAGACATCACCATTTCATCCAAATGCATTTTTTTAGTCATCAGTTCTTTATAACTTCGACTTGCAATATCCTTTTCCTCTTCGCTCACGAGTAACTCCATGTATTGTTCGTGCTTGCGGACAAATTCTCTCCAACATTCATCGTAATGCTCTTTTTTTGTCTTGATATTATCCACTGGTTCACCAGCATAAATTGCCTCCTGTATCCATCCTTTCGTCTTTGTGAGGGTGTTCATTAAATGTATACGAGTCTTAAACAAAGCATTTATCTTCTCCTTTTCCATTTCTTCTTTTTCTAACCGAACATCTCTCCATGTACCTTCAATGCATCTTTGTCCAGGCTCGGACCTGGCTGGGTTATCCTCAGTTGGTTCCCTATCAAGTGCTGTTGGCCACGATCGCACAGACATTACTGTTGATCATCCAGTATGAGTTATAACACAAATGTACCCAGAAGAATATGTTCCTGAATAAAATTAACAACTTATATTCCCCGTCCCTGACAATAAATATTGTCCAAACTCACCGTCCTTGACAATATATACACTCCAATATTCTGTTCAAACAAGAATACCCTGTATAATACAAGTACACTGTCCCAGACGATATAAATTATCCCTCAAGTGAAATATAGAAGTTCAGGTGAAATTTAATGCAAATACTCGTTCTTAACGAGAAGATATACATATTTGATGATAAATATACTTTACAATGACCAGATCTTCAGTAAATATAATCAGATATAACCGTTTCTAACAATAAAATATAGTTCCAAGGCACCGTCCCTGATGATAAAATATATCCGAATATAAACCAGGTCTTGAAAGTGAAATATAGTCCCAATAACCCGTTCCTAACGAGAAAACACCGTTCAAATGCACCGTCCCTGACGATAGAAATATACTTTTAAATAAACCAGGTCTTGAAAGTGAAATATATAATCCAAAATAACCCGTTCCTAACGAGAAAACACAGTTCAAATGCACCGTCCCTGACGATATAAATATACTTGAAATACACCGTCCTTGTCGAGAAAATATACTCAAACTAACCCGTTCCTAACGAGAAAATACCGTATAATTCAAATTCTCCGACTCTGACGATCAATACACACTTAAGCTAACCAGAAATACAATCCAATAAACTTGTACTTGCCACAAATGTACACTCCAAATAAACTATCGATCCATACTCGATCCAAACTCGTAGAAATATGGTTCTAAACTGTTACTATAGTCCGACTATAGCACCTGATGTTGAATAAAATTATCATATATTTGAAACAAACGTCACATTATACAAATCTTACGCTAAAATTATCAAATTTTACTTTTAGAACCGTTTGGTTCTACGACTAAACAAAAACTAAACAAACGACATGGCCGCCTTATTTGCCATGCCAAAAATGCGTCTACTGCGCATGCGCAAGGCGGGAAAATCCATACGGTGGCTACACCCTCCTAGCCTAAACACCGCGGAAAAACGTCTGCGCATGCACCAAATTATGAAAATATGGCGGGGAATTTGAATATCAATTTCTAAAACAAAAACATGCTTATTAATAGGACAAAAATTAGTAAAACAAACGAGAAAATATAGCAAATGGATAGATTAGACATTAATTGAAAGCGTCCTGACATTTAAAGTATGGAATGAAATATAATTCATGTAAAAAATTGTTGATTTTGACGGACACGACTTCGAAAATTTTTGCAAAATTATTCAAAACAAAAATTCAAACTAAAAAGTTAAGAAAACTCTCGAAAAGTTAAGCTTCTTAACCCACTCAAATTGTAGAATAAATCCTAAAGTTTAATTATTCTGAACACGAAAATGTTTTATATTTGGCGACACAGTATTTTTTAAAGAAATGTATCTCAAACGAAAATTCGGAAATTGTCGTTGCTTAGTTAATAAACAAAATGTTTCAGACGATAAATTTGTCAACAATTACCTTTAGTTCATGTTCGTGTACAATACAATTTTTTGAACCTTCTGGCTGTATTTATTCCTAGTTTTTAGAATGACATGTTTATTATTGCGTTCGAAATCTGGCTGTAAAGACGCACAATGAAGTCACTCCTTTTTACCGCCAGTTTGAGCCTTCGGAAACGTTCGGAACAGCTTCTCATCAAGTTCGCAATACTATTACAGGTAAGGTTGACGCATGCGCAGACGTTTTTCCGCGGTGTTCCTAGCCTGTTGCTGCCGTAGCTTCCA